AACTTTAATTCATAATTGATAAATGTATACAGCAAATTTTTCTAAAAATAAAAAGAAGTATCTAATTCATCGAAAAAGAGTATTAAAATGATAGTAAATTATATGTATAGATTATTAAAAGCATAGACACTATATTAAGATTATTTATTAATCAGAAGTGTTAAGTTCTGATTAATAAATAATCTTAATAGACAAAACAATTTAAGAAATAGATCGAGGAAGAAAACTATATGAAGAAAGGATTAAATTAAAATATATTTTCATTCCATTACATAACGGATTTTTTTAGCTCCAACCAGGGCCGCCGTAAGCGGGCGTGCAAGGCGTGCACCGCACGCGGGCGGCACGTCCAGGGGGCGGCAAAGAGCCTTTCTGGCAAGCTCAACATAGGTAATCGTAGTTAAACAGGGGGCGGCATAATCGGTATTGCACACGGGCGTTCAAACAGCTAGCGGCGCCCCTGGCTCCAACACACGCAATTAATTTTTCAACTAATTCTCTCCACAAAGCGAATTGTCTTTTTCTTGTAAATTTATTGTCGAATTTTCCACTGTTCATTTTCTTATTATTTTCTACATATGTTACAAATATTTCTTTTTGTTCTTCGCTTACTTTTAAAAATAAAACATTGGACGTTTTCATTTTGTTTCTGCATACTATATTGCTATAAGACAACTTTTAACTGTAGCACGTGTAAACTAATTCACGTTGATTTGTTTACAACTTGTTACAGTTAAGTTGATTGGTCGATTCATTATAGTCGCCAATCCATATGCATTGTAAATAATCCTATCATGCTTAACGACACACAACCAAGTGAGTATGACGTATTTCCGCTCGCCTTTCGAGTTCGCTCGAAGAGTCTAAAGCTTACAAGGGGACCTTACACTCTCGGAAATTCAGTTCGGGATAAGACTTTGCAGGTTAGTAGTATACCTCAAGAGTGTCCACCCAGAAAAATTGTAAAGCGCACTAGCAACAAGATTCCGAGAAAAAAGGCTCTAAAGTTTTAAGCGCAGCTCATATACCGATCGATTTTACACTATGGCAGCACTGCGAAATGGCTGAGCTTGTAGCAAACTNTCCACCCAGAAGAATTGTAAAGCGCACTAGCAACAAGATTCCGAGAAAAAAGGCTCTAAAGTTTTAAGCGCAGCTCATATACCGATCGATTTTACACTATGGCAGCACTGCGAAATGGCTGAGCTTGTAGCAAACTCGCTTGCCACGTGGACGATCTAGGTTCGATTCTACCTTCGGCTAACTTTTCTTTTTTAAATTGTTTTAAAAATTGTAACAACTTTTAAATAAAGTTAATGACCTAAAAATATTATCAATTAAATCATAACTAACTGTCAACTTTCACATCTGCGAGTTAATTATTCCGTGAGTTTTCACAAGTGAACAGCAAAAGTGGCACTTTCAGATAACTTTCCGACCTATTGTCTTAAGTTCATTGATTGAAAATAACAAGGAATTGAAAAGTTCTTCAAATTTAAAACGAATATTTTTAACCTCTCCACAGCTTAAAATGTCTTAAAATTTTTAATTAAAATTAAAGTTTTAATTTACCTCCATTAGAAATGCATTTGAAATTATTCAACTTTTTAAAAATATTTTAAGCTATGGAGAGGTTAAAAATATTCGTTTTAAATTTGAAGAACTTTTCAATTCCTTGTTATTTTCAACCAATGAACTTAAGACAATAGGTCGGAAAGTTATGTGAAAGTGCCACTTTTGCTGTTCACTTGTGAAAACTCACGGAATAATTAACTCGCAGATGTGAAAGTTGACAGTTAGTTATGATTTAATTGATAATATTTTTAGGTCATTAACTTTATTTAAAAGTTGTTACAATTTTTAAAACAATTTAAAAAAGAAAAGTTAGCCGAAGGTAGAATCGAACCTAGATCGTCCACGTGGCAAGCGAGTTTGCTACAAGCTCAGCCATTTCGCAGTGCTGCCATAGTGTAAAATCGATCGGTATATGAGCTGCGCTTAAAACTTTAGAGCCTTTTTTCTCGGAATCTTGTTGCTAGTGCGCTTTACAATTCTTCTGGGCCCTTAGTCTCGAGGTTTTCGTGTTGTACTCGAACTGACGTCATCGAACTCACTCGTGTTACTATGACTCACATAATCGGTAGTCTCGAGTTAGACCCTTCGAGTGAACTCGAAAGGCGAGCGGAAGTAGGTCATATTCACTTGTTTACGCTTGTCGATAAGCATGATGGGATTATCTACAATGCATCTGGGTTTGTGACTATAATGATTCGACCAATCAACTTAACTGTAACAAGTTGTAAACAAATCAACGCGAATTAGTTTACACGTGCTACAGTTAAAAGTTGTCTTGTGGCAATATAGTACGCAGAAACAAAATGAAAACCTCGAATGTTTTATTTTAAAAAATAAGCGAAGAACAAAAAGAAATATTAGTAACATATATAGAAAATAATAAGAAAATGAACAGCGGAAAATTCGACAACGAATTTACAAGAAAAAGACAATTCGCTTTGTGGAGAGAATTATTTGAAAAATTAATTGCGTGTGTTGAACCTAAAAAATCCGTTATGTAATGGAAAATGTATTTAAACTTAATCCTTTCTTCATATAGTTTTCTTCCTTGATCTATTTCTTAAATTGTTTTGTCTATTAAGATTATTTATTAATCAGAACTTAACACTTCTGATTAATAAATAATCTTAATGTAGTGTCTATGCTTTTAATAATCTATACATATAATTTACTATCATTTTAATACTCTTTTTCGATGAATTAGATACTTCTTTTTATTTTTAGAAAAATTTGCTGTATACATTTATCAATTATGAATTAAAGTTTTTTTTATTAGTATTGACTTGACACGAAAAGAAATGTCATCTACTCGTGGTCGAAAAATTCGTTGCCTTCTCAAACAACGTCTTTCGGCTCTTTCTAACTCTTCGATAGCGATAAGAATTGCGTATCCGTCAGCCATTTTTACTTTCGTGTAGCGATCTCACATGCTCGACTCAACGTGAGTAGCAACTCGCATGGTGAGATGGGAAAGCACGTGAGTTAGAACTCGAGACTACCAATTTGACGTCAGAGTGTGAGATGGTACCACGTGACACCTTCAACACGTTGGGAGTTGTAACACGAAAAACTCGAGACTAAGGCCCCTGGGTGGACACCCTTGAGGTATACTACTAACCTGCAAAGTCTCATCCCGAACTGAATTTCCGAGACCGTAAGGTCCCCTTGTTAGTTCACACCGAACGCGATTCGCTAGCGAATGCGAAAAACAGAGCGAACAACACGTCAGATATGACGTCGTTTCCGGCGAATTTTACCATTTCGCGAATCGCTTCGAAATTCGGAACTGTCGAGCTTTTTCGCTAGCGAAAAAATTTCGCACCAATCGTTTTCCCGCTAGTTGTCACGTGGTTCTTGTTGTTTTCAAGATGGCTACAGAAACTTTCTCACGCAATAGATTACATGTTGTAATTACGGATTTCAATATTTCTCTCACCCAGCATCGTTTTCTTTTTGACTTATTTTTCTTTCTCAATAAATAAACAAATGTGGTTAACGACGGAATATCGGAAGCGGCCATTTTGTTTTTCGAGATGACGTTTTCACTTACTTGCAAATGATTGGTTGTTTAAAATTCGCAATCGCTTTTCGTTTTTAGTTGTAGGGTCAATTTCGCTATGCGAATAAAAATCGCTTTTTGCTTTTCACATTCGCTTTCTCTATTCGCTCAGTGTGAACTAAGCTTAACTCAGTGTTTCTCAACCTCTAACGAATCGTCGCCCCCTTTAATGTAGTATCGCCACTTCAATAAAACCGTTACGTACTATCGTCCCCCTTCACTTCAAAATTCCGATGCCGAGGGCCAAGGTTAACGCCAAATTCGTACTGCATTGAATAGACTAGTGACTAGTATAATGTTATTTGTTTAATTATTATACGATATAACGAATAAAATATCTAATTATTCTTAATACTGTATAATATTTTACTATATCGCCCAGAAAATTGTTTTCGCCCCCTCAAATATAAATTGTTACTAATCGCCCCCTCAACATAAAAAAACGCCCACATGGGGGCGATATCGCCCCGTTGAGAAACACTGGTCTAACTCGAGACTAGCGATTATGTAAGTCATAGTGACACGAGTGAGTTCGATGACGTCAGTTGAGTACAACACGAAAAACTCGAGACTAAGGACAGGAGAGTAATTAGAGATGTAGTGTAAATAATAGCGATAACTTCTCCCCCCCTCCACTCCAGCTAAAAGACTGCGGTTTGTTTTGTTTAAAACAGATATGTGAAAATGATTAAAGTATAAAATTCATCGAATCTATTTAAATTAATTATTATTTTTTGTTTGTTTTTTTGTAAAGTTTAAAATTTAAATATTATTTTAAATTTATATCATACATAAAATTAAACAATCGTAATCTGTACTATGTTTTTGATTAAAAACGGAAAACAGATTGAATCTAGCGCGGTTTTTAAACGAGATATCGCAATTTAACAAATTATGCAAAAAATACAAATAATGCGACACACGGTAAAATACATATAATTAATTTACTTAAATCGGTAAACAGAAAAGGGTTAATTAATTAATAACACGTAAATAGGGGCCATTTTTCCGTAAACTCCTCCGGGGGGCGTCATCCTTTCTGGGCAGATTTCCCATGTGCGGCGTTGACACACAGGAATAAAACCAAATAAAAAATTATGAAAATGAAAATTTTCAGTAAACAATTTTTGTTTTATTTTCTTAAAATGATGAGTGAATAAAAACGGAAATTATTATTGACATGGATATTATATTTTGGAGATTTAATTTCAACAATATTTTTTAAATCAATATTATGATCGCAATAATTCATTAACGTTACCAGCACGTATAACCTTCATCACCATAAACAGGTGTATCACTAGGAAGACCTTCACACCAACAAGCAAAAAAATAGCAATATCCAGTTTTTCCATGTTTCTTCTGACAAAGAGGAGAGCAATAGCCCCATTTATCCGTTATATTGCACGAGTATTTACAGTTTGAATTTTTATGCAAGACATATCCATTCTTCAAACCATCAACTTCTGAAAAATACAAACATTTTAAAATGTCTATTATGATTACTAAATATTTAAAACAGCAAATAATATAATTCGAAAATCTAAGACTTTATTTCACTTAACAATTATTTTAAGCTACAAACTAATATATAATCTTTTTCCTCGTTCAGAGAGAGAATATGTACGGTACCTTGATTTAAATAAGTTATAAATATAAACACATAATAATTGTAAATTTACTGTAATCATTTCAAATCAATGATTGAGGATGTGTAAGTTCTTAAAGCCCTTTTTTACTACATAGTCTTTTTTAAAAGTATACAGTAATACCTCGACTTACGCTACCCCGACTTACGCGAACCCGGAGTTACGCGATTTTCAAATCTCGCCGATTCGTCTTTTTTCNGTTTTTTTTATTAGTATTGACTTGACACGAAAAGAAATGTCATCTACTCGTGGTCGAAAAATTCGTTGTCTTCTCAAACAACGTCTTTCGGCTCTTTCTAACTCTTCGATAGCGATAAGAATTGCGTATCCGTCAGCCATTTTTACTTTCGTGTAGAGATCTACGTGCGGCTAGAGATCCAGATGCCACAACGCGCTGATTGGTCAGCTGAATGACGTCAACCTACGAAAATCGGTAATATTGAGCGACTAGCCTAAACTTTGTATTGTTGTTGTTGTTATGAGAGCGAGCAGACATTATATAATAGTTATAGACATTTCATCTGAAACTTAATAGAAGGCACTTATTTATAATTTCACTAGCTCTTGTGTGTATTGACATTAATCGAAAATTTTGCAATAATTTTAACATAAAATTACGTGATATCAAAGATTTTAATGCTGAGACATTTTTAAATATCAAGAAACAGATAAAATATAATACAAAGTAATTTTTTGCAGACTAAATTACTTTTTATCATCTCTTTGGCTTAATTTATTTTCATTAGCCTAACCTACTAAGAAACAGATAAAAGAAGTAACTTCTTTTATCTGTTTTGTATTTTTGTAAGCTTTTTTGTACATTTACTATAATAATAAAATAATCAAAAACAACAAATGTAAATTGCAAATTAAGTTTTTTTTNACTTCGATACAAAAATGAAAATTTGTGAATTGGCAAAGAAGTTTGATCTACCGGAATCGACGGTCAGAACAATTATAAAAGGTAAAGAAAAAATTCCCGAAGCTGCGAAAAATGCTCAATCTTTAAATTCAAGCATCATTCGTAAACGTCACGGTATTATCGCTGAGATGGAAACAATATTAAAATTATGGTGTGATAAACAAGTAATTGTGAAAAATTGTATAAAAATATAATTTGTTATAGCCTATATATGTATTATTTAAGATTTTTTCTAAATTATTGTTTTTTTTTTAGTCTCCGGCCCCAATTAAAAATTATTTGTATTTACATGTGAAATTATACCCCGACTTACGCGAATTCGACTTACGCGGTTATCGCTCGTCCCACCTATCGCGTAAGTTCGGGGTATTACTGTATTTAATTTCGAAATATCAATATTAAAACAACAAATTACTTTGGAGTTAAGTCATTGAAAGAATAAAGATGGGAAGTTTCAAAATAGATTTAAATAACTTTTGCAACAATACGCTAATGAATATATATTTAAAACGAGCAATTATTTATTGTGACATAGTCACAATACCGGGCTGCGATTTTTAATCATATTTTTAATTTATTCAATTTAAAATATATGCTTCTATCTCAAATTAGTAGTGGCTTGCCCCTGAACGTCATACTTTCCTGTAGCGATAGAGTCGTGCCGGCCATCTATTAATTTAATTAATTAACTGCTTTCAGGGGAAAAGTTTTGAATTGATTTGAAGTAGCATAACTTCCGGTTTGCATCGAAAGTTCATATATACTTAATCAGGGCTTCATGCCCCTAATATTTCCATATTTGGTCTCTGCTTTTATCTTTCCATCTCTGTTTTTGAGATTTTGGAAAGACAGTGGTAATTTATAAGTTTACAATTTTTTTTCAAATTTCAGCCAAATTATACAGATTACTTTAAGAGATTCTGATACACGGTACACTTTAGGCTTCGTGAGTAGAATGAAGCATGAGATGTATAAAGAGAAGGTAGATTTCTGTGATCAATCTACTGACCAGATAATAATCGCTACTGCAGAAGATAGAGAAATCAAGGAAAATATAGACGCACTACATTACATACAGTTTACTGTAGAGGCTCAAAAATGTGTCGATACTTAGGATCTGAAAGTGACTACATTGAAAAAGAACTGGTTCTTATTCAATGTGATTTTTGATTACAGGAACACTTAAAAAGTGTAATTTATCGAGGATATGTTGAAATTTCGCAGCTTTGAAAGGCATCATAACACTGCAAGTGAAAAGCATTGCAGAAGATCGACTACAGTCGGTCGTCTAAAACACTGTTTATCAGGTTCAGGTTTTCCATTTACGGAATTGGATCTACATTGAACAGTATCCTGCAGCGAAAGCATGAGTGTTTTGTGTAAATAATTCTTGTAGAAATGACTCTTATGCTAATTTGTTGCTTGCAGCACTAAAAATGTTATAATGATAAGTTTTATTTGTACGGAAATGTCTTTCGCATATCCTAAACTGTCACCATGCCGGATTTTGTTTGAATTGGACTATCACCGTAAGTATCTCTCTACACAACATTATTCAGGGATACTTTAATAACGATTACGTGGTAATCTTTATTTCAAAAAAAAATTTATGTCAAAGATAGCAAAATAATATATAAAAATATCAGCAATTTAAATTTAATTTACACAGAATCATGTTTTTATTCAATGCATAAAAGCAATAACTAAAAATATATCGTTTTATTATTTTCTTTTAAAGTTACGCTAACTTCTCTCCATTCTTTAGTAAAGCATTTTAAAATTAAATTTGTATACTTTAACACATTTTCATAAAAATTTCAATCTATATTATTCAAAAAATATTTTACAAATAATAAAGACCGAATTATTTATTTCAAGACTATTTATATAATTATAACGCAAAAATTCGTTTTCTATTTTTATCCTTTTAAACAGAAGTCTGTGTTTAAAAGTTTTAAAAACTAATTAATATTGAAAACTAATATTTTACCTTTTCCAATACTAAACTTAATTACTGCTATAAAAAATTTATAATATTGTGGAATATATTTTAAGGCCGATTCATTATAAGTAATTAACAAATATAAATACATACTTGTATATACATATAAAATATACACATAATAAATGATAGTAACAGTAATAATATTATAGTATACATGTATTCATATACGTATATTATTATTATTTTTCATACATAGGTATAATATAAAAAATAATAACATAAATGAATATGTTAACATGTGTAATGTCTACAAATACATATTATTACTGCTATATATATAATCATACAATATAACATTATTATATATACTTATTTTTAAGCTATATTACGGCAGTATTAAACGATATAGGTTATAGGCTAAACGTTTCTAAAAACTTTTTAAACTTTAAAACACCTACCAATTAGAAGTGCAATCAAAAGCAATAACAGAAGCTTCATTTTGAATTAATTTATCAAAACTGTTAGCCACTTAATAATTAGATTTAGTAATTATATACTAAAATAAATCTTATCCAATATTTTCAATTATATCACGTACAGTAATTATGTGAAAGTCAAAAGTTATTAAACACGCGCTAGATTTCTATTTTATCACATTTCCGTTTTCTTAATTGGTGTATCGGTAGCNCAAAAATGAAAATTTGTGAATTGGCAAAGAAGTTTGATCTACCGGAATCGACGGTCAGAACAATTATAAAAGGTAAAGAAAAAATTCCCGAAGCTGCGAAAAATGCTCAATCTTTAAATTCAAGCATCATTCGTAAACGTCACGGTATTATCGCTGAGATGGAAACAATATTAAAATTATGGTGTGATAAACAAGTAATTGTGAAAAATTGTATAAAAATATAATTTGTTATAGCCTATATATGTATTATTTAAGATTTTTTCTAAATTATTGTTTTTTTTTTAGTCTCCGGCCCCAATTAAAAATTATTTGTATTTACATGTGAAATTATACCCCGACTTACGCGAATTCGACTTACGCGGTTATCGCTCGTCCCACCTATCGCGTAAGTTCGGGGTATTACTGTATTTAATTTCGAAATATCAATATTAAAACAACAAATTACTTTGGAGTTAAGTCATTGAAAGAATAAAGATGGGAAGTTTCAAAATAGATTTAAATAACTTTTGCAACAATACGCTAATGAATATATATTTAAAACGAGCAATTATTTATTGTGACATAGTCACAATACCGGGCTGCGATTTTTAATCATATTTTTAATTTATTCAATTTAAAATATATGCTTCTATCTCAAATTAGTAGTGGCTTGCCCCTGAACGTCATACTTTCCTGTAGCGATAGAGTCGTGCCGGCCATCTATTAATTTAATTAATTAACTGCTTTCAGGGGAAAAGTTTTGAATTGATTTGAAGTAGCATAACTTCCGGTTTGCATCGAAAGTTCATATATACTTAATCAGGGCTTCATGCCCCTAATATTTCCATATTTGGTCTCTGCTTTTATCTTTCCATCTCTGTTTTTGAGATTTTGGAAAGACAGTGGTAATTTATAAGTTTACAATTTTTTTTCAAATTTCAGCCAAATTATACAGATTACTTTAAGAGATTCTGATACACGGTACACTTTAGGCTTCGTGAGTAGAATGAAGCATGAGATGTATAAAGAGAAGGTAGATTTCTGTGATCAATCTACTGACCAGATAATAATCGCTACTGCAGAAGATAGAGAAATCAAGGAAAATATAGACGCACTACATTACATACAGTTTACTGTAGAGGCTCAAAAATGTGTCGATACTTAGGATCTGAAAGTGACTACTTTGAAAAAGAACTGGTTCTTATTCAATGTGATTTTTGATTACAGGAACACTTAAAAAGTGTAATTTATCGAGGATATGTTGAAATTTCGCAGCTTTGAAAGGCATCATAACACTGCAAGTGAAAAGCATTGCAGAAGATCGACTACAGTCGGTCGTCTAAAACACTGTTTATCAGGTTCAGGTTTTCCATTTACGGAATTGGATCTACATTGAACAGTATCCTGCAGCGAAAGCATGAGTGTTTTGTGTAAATAATTCTTGTAGAAATGACTCTTATGCTAATTTGTTGCTTGCAGCACTAAAAATGTTATAATGATAAGTTTTATTTGTACGGAAATGTCTTTCGCATATCCTAAACTGTCACCATGCCGGATTTTGTTTGAATTGGACTATCACCGTAAGTATCTCTCTACACAACATTATTCAGGGATACTTTAATAACGATTACGTGGTAATCTTTATTTCAAAAAAAAATTTATGTCAAAGATAGCAAAATAATATATAAAAATATCAGCAATTTAAATTTAATTTACACAGAATCATGTTTTTATTCAATGCATAAAAGCAATAACTAAAAATATATCGTTTTATTATTTTCTTTTAAAGTTACGCTAACTTCTCTCCATTCTTTAGTAAAGCATTTTAAAATTAAATTTGTATACTTTAACACATTTTCATAAAAATTTCAATCTATATTATTCAAAAAATATTTTACAAATAATAAAGACCGAATTATTTATTTCAAGACTATTTATATAATTATAACGCAAAAATTCGTTTTCTATTTTTATCCTTTTAAACAGAAGTCTGTGTTTAAAAGTTTTAAAAACTAATTAATATTGAAAACTAATATTTTACCTTTTCCAATACTAAACTTAATTACTGCTATAAAAAATTTATAATATTGTGGAATATATTTTAAGGCCGATTCATTATAAGTAATTAACAAATATAAATACATACTTGTATATACATATAAAATATACACATAATAAATGATAGTAACAGTAATAATATTATAGTATACATGTATTCATATACGTATATTATTATTATTTTTCATACATAGGTATAATATAAAAAATAATAACATAAATGAATATGTTAACATGTGTAATGTCTACAAATACATATTATTACTGCTATATATATAATCATACAATATAACATTATTATATATACTTATTTTTAAGCTATATTACGGCAGTATTAAACGATATAGGTTATAGGCTAAACGTTTCTAAAAACTTTTTAAACTTTAAAACACCTACCAATTAGAAGTGCAATCAAAAGCAATAACAGAAGCTTCATTTTGAATTAATTTATCAAAACTGTTAGCCACTTAATAATTAGATTTAGTAATTATATACTAAAATAAATCTTATCCAATATTTTCAATTATATCACGTACAGTAATTATGTGAAAGTCAAAAGTTATTAAACACGCGCTAGATTTCTATTTTATCACATTTCCGTTTTCTTAATTGGTGTATCGGTAGCTCTTATCGGAAATTTTCTTTCATTAATTCATACAATTTGTGAAACAAATTTTATTGAAAACAAAAAAATTTCATAGCTAAACTTTATGGAAAACATCTTTAACAATAATAAAACAACTTATATTTAAATAAATTTTGAAACTTTTAATTTATAAAACTTAACGAGAATAAACAACTTTAAATTTTTAAGTGCGTTTTTCAGGCAGACAACTGCATTTCCTAACTGCGGATGTTTATTTGTAATTAATGAGAAAAGCAAAAAAATTATTTTGATAGTATTATACTAATTAATATACATGTTATATTATGAAGTTGTATAAAATAAAAAATTGCAAAACATTTAATACTGTATTACATTTTGCAATGAAAAAGTTTTTCCCCCTTTACTATTGCTATAATATCCGAATCAGATGATGTGAAAAGATTTGTTCTACTCATAATAGGACGTTTTCATTGTTGACGTTTGTTCAGTATACCAATAATTAAGCTTTATTATTATTTTTTCTTATTATAGTTATGCTCTTTAAATGATAATACAGGAAATTCACGTTAGTTCGAAATTCAAGACACGAAATAATCGCGACTTCGAATTATCGAGTTTCGAATTATCCGAGATTTAGTTATATCAGTATAGTATGCCAAGTGCCACATAACCGATGTAATTTATAGGGCAAATAAAATACAGTCGATCCCCTATAACGCGGGTTCATATAATGCGGATTCGTATATCGCGACGAAAAAATTGCGACCGTATTCGTATAAAGACTCTAAAAGAGACTCGTAAAATGCGGTAAAACGTCATCGCCGACTCGTGTAGCGGCAGGATTGGTCGAATCTGGACCAATAGTGGACGAGCAGCCGAACTACTTATATGCTACAGAGAGTTGAGTTTACTATCGTCTGTACTGCATATAAATTAGGTACCGTAAGTCTAATACGGTACTGTAATTTTATACATTTCTTGTCAAAAAAACATTTCTTATTCAACGGCCATAAAAATTATTTATATTAATGATGTCTCCAAAGTTCAACGAATTTTTCGCAGAAAAATAACTTATCAGAAATCGCACGCCGTTTGGTGCGCTGCTCCGCGACGAAAACAAGCTTAAGCAAAGGCGACGTCGAACGGTGCACACTCGGTAAGTAATCCTACAATTTTTTGTTTATAGCATAGTTTATACGGATTATTCCCAAAAAAATTATTCGTGTCTTGGAAATGTGGAGTCGAATTAGTCTAGAATCGATTAATCTTATGGAAGAAAACCTTTCAAATATCCGTAGTCCGTAAACTTCACAAGTGTAGGGCTATGATTGGCTCGTATTTAAGGATTCCTACAACGTGAAATTCTTATAAAGTGGAACGTATATACCGCGTTATAGGGGGAGACTGTACGGATACCTATATAGGACACTATTTTCGTTAATAAAAAATTAATAGAAATAATATAAATGCAAAGGTAAAACAGTATGTTTCTGGTGAGAACCTTTAGGTTTTATAAAAAGTAAAGCTGAATTTCTCGAAATGTACCCAAATTATTTTTTAAGTGACAATCGCGAAAAAACAAAAAATAAATGAAATAGAGGAGTTTATTGAATCTGTTCGACCACATCAGTGTCATGTAAAAATACGCTGTATTTAAACAACGTTTTTGGGTGGCTATAGGTGCTAAATTTCAAATAACAAGTAGGTCTAGTAGAATCGATATATAGGCATAGAATTTAGATCACACGTTCTTTATTTGAATTCGGAATACAAGTCTATTAATTTAAATTTTCTATATTACAGCAGAGGAAACGGAAAAAAATGAGAAGTACTGTACAAAGGGATAGATATATGAGAAAAAAAAATAAAATTTAGCACTGTTAGTGGTAGTGGCGTTTCCTATTCGGCCAGAATTTTTACATATGTGTGTTCTGGCATAAAAGCGTAAAATAGAAACTGAACTGAAAACTGATTTCTGATTCACAATTTTGCACGTGTGTGTTCCTGGCATAACAATGGAAAGATCTTTTGTTTGGAGATAAACTATTTCAATTGTTATGGAAATATTTTAAATTAAATTTAATCGAATTTTCAATCTCCTCATAAATTAGAATAAAAAATCGAAAATAGTTTATAACCTGAGAAAAGAAAGCTTCACTTCTATCGAATCTTGGGAAAATTTAAGTGAAGATATTTCGAGTGAAACAGAAGAATTCTCAGATGAATTATTCGTAGAAACTGAAGATTCGGATAGCAAAGTTGATCACACCATTCCTATGGATGATGAAGAACATGAAACTGAAAATCCTCATCAACTCGAAGAAAATGGCGAAACGAACAACGCTAAAACATCAGTAATGGAATTAGAAAATAAAAAACAGAGTTTATACCAACCAGTAGTTTCAGTTCTCCAAATGATTTTTTCTTTCATAAGAAAAAGAGGCTATAGTTCAGACGATTTACAGTCACAAAATCCTGCAAAATTTCACGTCAGATATCTAATTTTAAAAAATTCAGCTTTTTGATTTTCTAAAATATCATCTATGTGAAGAGTTTAATAGAACAAAATTAATGAAAAATTGAGAGTTTATCAGACGAATAAAATTTTATTTTAAACTGAACTGTCATTTCATACGTCTATATTGATAATTCGTTTTCTAAACATATATAAACAAGTAATTCCTGATTGATTTCAGTTTGTTTCCTTTGATTTCACATTATATTATTATAATGTGAAATCTAAAGAGCATTTGTTAAAATTTAATGCCAAACATTTACAAAAAGTAATTTTGTCATTTCTCATCTACAAAATTTATCTTCGGTTGAGAAATTTAAATACTGACAAGCGGTATAGGGTTTCTGGGAACTTAAATTTGAAAAATATAGTTTAATTCAAATAATTTATTAATTAATTGTATATATCTAAAATGTTGAAAATATATAGATACTAGCTGTTACCCGCGGCTTGGCCCGCGCAGATTTTGCAAGCAAATCCCATTTATATTCAGTATTTCAACAACCATAGTAATTGTTATATAACACCTACCGCTGAGAATGATAAGAATTGCCGATAATCAAACGAAATGCTTTCAATTTGATCAATTTTCTGGAACGTTTACAATCGTTCTATAATCGAACCAATATGCAATAACAAATTCGAATTTAAAACGCTTCGAACATTTGGTTAAAAAATCGAAATAGATGAATATATTTATAACACCGTCTGAAATGTTATCAATTTAATACACCTAAGTACTCAATGAAGACTAAACGTAATTAAAAACAAAAAAATCGCATCTAAAATAGTACCGTGGAAACCATTCTTCTGGTTAAGCCTTAATCTTCTCCCTCTCCCCCTGCGGGAGAATTTCGAAAAATCCCTTCTTAGTGTGCATTCTCATGGCCTACCCTACTAAAACGCAGATAAAAACAAAATATCGCATCTAAAATAGTACAGTAAAAGCTGTTCTTCCGGTTAAGCCTTACTAAGGTGGAGGGGAGAGATTATCTCCCTCTCCCGTCCGCCTAGGAATTTCGAAAAATCCGTTCTTAGTGAGCGTTTTCATGACGTACCCTAACTGTGTATCAAATTTCACCTCTTTAGGTTCAGCGGTTTGCTCTGGGCGATGATGAATCAGTCATTCAGTCAGTCAGTCAGGACAAGTAATTTTATATACAGTAGACCCCCTATAACGAGATACGTTCCTCGTTATACGAATTTTCCGTTGTAGGAATCCTTAAATACACGAGCCAATCGCAGCCCGACACGTGTGAAGTTTACGGACTACGGCTGATTGAAAGGTTTTCTTCCATAAAATTAATCGATTCTAGACTAATTCGACTTAACATTTCCAAAATACGAATAATTTTTTGGGAATAATTCGTATAAACTATGCTATAAACAAAAAATTGTAGGATTACTTACCGAGTGTGCACCGTTCGACGTCGCTATTGCTCAAGCTTGTTTTCTTCGCGGAGCAGAGCACCAAACGGCGTGCGATTTCTGATAAGTTATTTTTCTGCGAAAAATTCGTTGAACTTTGGAGACATCATTAATATAAATAATTTTTATGGTCGTTGAATAAGAAATGTTTTTTTGACAAGAAATGTATAAAATTACAGTACTGTGTTAGACTTACGGTACCTAATTTACATACTGTACAGACGATAGTAAACTCAACTTACTCGCCTAAACTCTCAGTAGCGTGGCGCTGGACAGTGGAAAGTATATACCGTGGTACCTCAGGATACGAAATTAATCCGTTCCGAAACTGAGATCGTATCATGAAAATGTCGTAAGCTGAATCATTTTTTCCCATACGATTACATGTAAAACCAAATAATTCGTTCCAACACGAAAAACACACTCAAATTAAAGCTAAGCTGTACATTTAAAAAAATAACTATAGTAAGGAAAACACTGAAAAATGCGTTTTGTAGTTGTAAATGTATAAAAAACCATAATAGAATAATAATCGATAAAAAAAATGTAGTTTTATTTTCACTTTACCTTTGAGGATAGACAATGGTGGAGGTGTAAACTGCTGGCGGAAGAGAGGGAGAAGGGAAATGATACTAAAACTAAACTTACATAACGTAATGTAACAATAACTTAAAAATAATTTAACACTAATTTTTTAATCTTTTCTGTTACATATTTTTGTTAATTTTTTATTCACTAATTTTTTGCTTTCTTTCCTTCACTTCCACCAGCACTTTCAATAAATAGAGGTCGCTTGGTAAAATACTGTATCTGTCAAAGAGGTTTTGGCTTTACCTACTTTTTAAAATGTTTCTAAAATGACTCAGGCAAATGTCATTACTCTGAGCAGCAATATGGCCAGTGTGAATCTTTTTGCAATGTTTCTTTTCAATAAAATCAGTCACTTTCTGATAATACCTCGAGATTTCTTTTATCGAGCGAGATCCTTCCACGACGAAGCAAACACGTGGACTGATACCAATGAACAGAAGTGAATAAGAAATGGCACTGCGAACTAATGTAACGTCGTATGGTGAATTTTTGTTCGTATCGTGGAGCAAAAATATGTTCGAATTTCACGTCGTATCCTGAAAATTTCGTATGCTGGGGCGTTCGTATCCTGAGGTACCACTGTATATAGTTAATCGCAGCTTCCTGCTGGTAAGCTTTCCTTATCTGGTCTGGACTTTCATCTATCTCACTCTGTTATCAAGATTAAGGAAGGAAGGATAGACAGAAGCCGGATGCCAGTTGGAATTTATAACTTTACAATATTTCAAAATTGCAGCTCAGCAAAATATATAGGTTTTCATTTAGGAAGTAAATTTCAAATAATTTGATTCTAATGCACATTTTTTTTTTTTACTATTCTGGTCTCCAAAATTGTAGTGCGCATTAGAATTGGGCACAAAGTCATCTTAATATAGCCTCATTGGTGTGTTTTGCTCTTCACTTTGTGTAGTAGTTTGTGTGTGTGTTATATTATCGGTGTAGATATATATCTCTTACTACTACTGTTTTAATTTTGGTTTTTGAGTGATTTTGTAGTCTTTTGAACTATGGGAAGCCAAGTGAAGGATGTGTCTTTTATGAAGCTAAGTTTTAAATAGAGAGTTATCTGCTATGTTGAAGAATATGTATATAGGACATCCTCATTAATTTAAACTCGGATAGTTCAAAATCCTGTTAGTTTGTAACTGCTTTTGTTTCAGCCAGGGATATAGAGATTACAAATCTGGTTAGTTTGAATTATGGCTACTTTGAAATTTGAAGTGAAAATTCTGTCCGAATGTGATGAGACTTTGTTAACTCGTTTGTTTTGATCAAAGTTCTTCCATGCAATAAGCAAACAGTAGCCCAAGAACAACTCTAATCTGGTCAATATGGTTTTGCTTTTATAGTAACACATTTTCAGATTTCACCTTACTCATGGACTACCCTTTTTTTTCTCTTATTTCATAAAATATGGCTGGTTTTTGNGTATTTTGGAAATGTTGAGTCGGATTAGTCTAGAATCGATTAATTTCATGGAAGAAAACCTTTCAATCAGCCGTAGTCCGTAAACTTCACACGTGTCGGGCTGTGATTGGAACGACTCTTAAGAAATCGGATTCCTAAAAAATGGAACGTATCTATGATCTTATAGGGGGTCGACTGTATAATACTGTACAGACGATAGTAAACTCAATTTATCCGCCTAAACTCTCCGTAGCGTGGCGCTGGACGGCGGAAAGTAGTTCGGCTGCACATCCGCGATGACGTTTTACCGCGTTTCACATGTCCCTTTTAGCGTCTTTATACGAATATTGTCGCAATTTTTTCGCCGCATTATAGGAATCTCCGTTATAGAAACCCGCGTTGTAGGGGTCTACTGTATTTAGATTAATGTAATTTATGATGGCACTTAACATTCGGTAAAGAGAAAAGAAGAAAAATAAAAAAAATCGAGAGACGCCTAGGCATAGGCAGCAATTCTCGTCGAAAGGAAACGGCCGAATTGGTATTTAGTTTCGTTTTGTTTTTGAACGTTTATACAGAAATTCAGTTCCATGCGTGGTTCCTTTCCTTTGCTTCGTTTAACATCAATCTTCGGAATGTCAAGGTTATTTTTTTAAACTCTCTGCCCTGTAGGCACTAAAAGGATCTCTTTTAGCAAACTCATTAGGGGTTCAGACAGGCCCATAATGGGGTTGCCGGGTGTTGAGGGACGGAGCCCGACATATCGGAACGAAAAAGTCTTGGGGATTTTTTAGACCCGTCTGGATTCGACCCCAGGTCCCGCAGAGCGACAGGTTGCCACCTTGAACCCTCAGCTATTTAATTGTCAGTTTACAGAGTTATCTATTTGTGGATGGCTTACAAAATTTTCTCTAATATATAGTTTGTTTGTATTATCTAATTTTAATTTTTTTTTAAATAATATAAAGCTACCCCAAAAAAATATAAAAATATAGAATCATCAGAAACAAAACTTCTGCCTTTCAAATTTCTGTTATAAAAGATTTTCACTTGTCAGCATTCTTATCAGAGACCAGTGCCGGCCCGAGGCAAGTTTTAGGATGAAACGAGATCTTATTATGGCGCCCCCCTTTGTTGCCCCTAATTTATACCCTTCAATTTTCTTTACCACTGAGGAGCCTCTTAGGATTTTGCGCCTGGAGCAGTTGCTCCGTTCGCCCTATGGTAGGGCCGGCTCTATTCACGAGGATTGTAGAGTAAACGACTAGATACTGCATGTAAACTTCCCGTTAGAACAATGGGCTTTTGGCATTCAATTCTACCGATGTTTTCCAAACGCAAACGCTAGGCAGACGGATGCCAATACGTGCGTGAGATCTAAATTTAAAATCAGGCTTTACCACCACACAATCTGTAACAAAACTTTATTATACGTGGCCAGAGCAACCGTATGGTAATCACCATTCTCTGGCGACATACGAACAAAAAAGAGAATTTTGCACGCTGAGAACACCGGTTATGGATAGTTTTGCCAGTCAGTCTTGCCGCCACAGCTACGCCTCCTTCAGTGTCTATGACACAAAACTAGCGGGGAAAGATACATGTTGGCCAGAGCGTGTGGTAGTTTGTCGGGATAGCGCTGGATTCTCTATGGCATACTTAGTCATCACTGGTTACAACGTTGGGAGTAAACGGTCCAACTTACTTTCTGCGAGAATAAAGACGTTTTACCTTATCAATGGAAATTACAGTTTCTTTTTCATTTATGCTTAGAGTAAATATCTTGGTACCATGTAAGAGGTCTTTACAAATCTTTACAACCTTCATACGATGAACATTACAAAGGCTTCTTTACCGCGTCACAGCGGATAAATACGCGGAACACGACTCCGGTTCTTTGTGGATAAATGGGTTGCGATAGAAGCGGTGCGATAAACTTTAGAATGAATGCATTCTGTGTAACTTTCTCATTCGAAAGGAAGATATTTGCACGGAATTCAGCGCTATCTTTTAGTTTCAATTGAACATATATAAGGGTCGTGCCGTGACATTTGATGATAGGGAAGCTGTTTCTGTAAGAAGCCGACATCCAGGGGCAATCAGTCAATTGCGCGTCAGTGATGGTCTAGGGTCCATTCGTATCGTTTATTCGATAAGCCAGTAAAAACCGTAGACTTCTCTAAATGCATTTTTAATATGACAAATACATTCCGATTTGCTAGCCACGATATAAGGGCTACAATTAAAAATAAAATAATAAAAACTTACTTAGTGAAATAAAATATGTGGTGGATGTACTGGTGTGAAATGTTCAACGCGGACAGGTAAACACATACACGTTTTACCAATTAAACGAGTTTAATTTCGCGCTGAATTTGAAATATATATACAGAATAGGTTAGATTCCTGCTGTTCTTCAAACGGTTCCACAATCTTGAGTAACCAGGTATATCAATAGACCTGTAGTTAATTTCTCGATAACTACCTCCCGACAATTTATTTGTACGCGTAAACCTTAACCTAACTTAAACTAAAAATAGAAAAAGTAGAAGGGGAAATGAGAAGAATTAAAGGACAGAAGGGTACCCAATTTTCCAGTTGGGTTCTCCACCGTTCCTCGTCTCGGCTTCTCTTTCTCGTCTGTTCTCCTCTTAGAATAACTCGGGTCCGTTTTGGGGTTTTTTCTCTATAATCGTCGATCGATCCGCTTCTTACGGCCTCCTTCTGCAGCGCTCCTCGACTTTTCGTTGAAGAGCCTGCTGCCACTCGTCTGTCTCTCTCCGAGTCCGGCCTAAGAATGCTTCTAGAAACTCTTCCCCTCCAGCCTCGTTTTCTCCTTTTGTTCTAACGCTACCCCCTGATGTGTTAGGGGTGAGGCGAGTTCTCGGAAGTCCGAGACAAAGGAACACAGAAATCGGAAAGAAGGAAAATTCTAGAATTTAAATTAAACTAAAACTATACAGACTAATAATAATAATAATAATAATAATAAAACAGGCGTGTAGCCACACTGGTACATACAAAATATTTTTCAATTATATGAATATACTTTTAAAGAAAATTATAATTAAATATAGCTTTGAGGAGCCTCCTAGGACTTTGCGCCTGGAGCAGCTGCTCCGTTCGCCCTATGGTAGGGCCGGCTCTATTCACGAGGATTGTAGAGTAAACGACTAGATACTGCATGTAAACTTCCCGTTAGAATATATGTTGTAGATAACAACATATCTACAAAATAAAATTTCTCTTTCCCCATTTTATGATAAAAAATACATTTTAGATAATGGAATAGATGTATTATCGTTCGGTCATTACAATTTCTACTTTTAATTCTTACAGATATTCCAATATCATCATCATCATCACTATACGGGTTTTTAATAGTATAGAAAAGAAAAACTATTTATGTAATACATAGCATTTGTAGTAAAACTTACTCATGTTTAAAACAAATGTATAATGAGGCAGCATTATTAAAATTGCCAAATAATACACCATATGAATGTAAATTTTTTGTGATAAAAAATAAAATAATATTACCAATATTTAATAAATATTTTTATAAAATGTGATTGTATGAAATGTAATAACAATTAAATATTTTATTTTCTAGAATTTGTTTATTTTAAAAAGTTATCTGAAAATGTAAAAATTCCAAAAAAGGCTTCAGCAGCTGGATATGATATATTTTGTGTTAAAGGCTTTGAAATTAAGCCCAATGAACATAAAGTGATATTTACAGATCTGGCCTTAGAAATGCCAAATAACTGCTATGCTAGAATAGCTCCAAAATCTTCTTTATCATTAAATAATATTATCATCAATGCAGGAGTTATTGACTGTGACTATCGTGGAAACATCAGGGTCCTAATGTATAATTTTGGATCGGAAATTATTATTTTTGAACCTGGATCGGCCATTGCCGAAATAATCTTCGAACAAATTATGCATCCGACTTTTATAGAAAAAACAGATTCATTAGACATCACTGACAGAAATGAAAAAGGCTTTGGAGAATGTAGCAAAATTGCTTTTTCTCAAAATAAAGAATTTGGGGATTGTGACAACATACTCCTTTCTGAAAAAGAAGAAGAAAATTTTGACTGCGATGAAATTACCTTATCTCAAAAAGTAGATTGTAACGAAATTACTTTATCTGAAAAAGAAGATTTTGGAGACTGACAAAAATTAACTTTTTTCTCAAAAAATAATTTTGTACTCAATTCTCATTTTGTAATGTACTTTATTATTTTATATTTACTCAACTATAATGTACTCAAATAATACGTACAGTAGACCCCCCTATAACGCTTAGATACGTTCCACGCTAATCGAATTTTACGTTGTAGGAATGATTAAATATATGAGCCAATCGCAGCCCGATAGGTGGGAACTTTACGGACTAAGGCTGTTTGAAAGGTTTTCTTCTATAATATTAACCGATTCTAGACTAATTCCACTCAACATTTCCAAAACACGTATAATTTTTTGGGAATAATCCGTATAAACTATGCTATAAACAAAAAATTATAGGATTACTTACCGAGTGTGTACCGTTCGACTACGCCGTTGCTTAAAGCTGGTTTTCATCGCGGAACAGCACATTAAACGGCGGCCGCGATTTCTAATAACGAATTTTTCGCATAAAAATAACTTGACCTTTGGAGACATCATTAATATAAATAATTTTTATGGCCGTTGAATAAGAAGTGTTTCTTTCACAAGAAATGTATAAAATTAGTGCTGTATTAGACTTACGGTACCTAATTTACATACTGCACAGACGATAATAAACTCAACTTATTGCCTAAAATCTCCGTAGCGTGGCGCTACGCTAGACGGTGGAAATTATGTATTTAATTATAATAAAGTTACAATAAGTTAATATATAATTATGTATACAGTACTTAATTTATATATAATTAATATATAATTATATGTACAGTATCTAATTTATATATAATTTATATATAATACTGTACAGACGATAGCAAACTCAATTTAGCCGCTCCGTAGCGTGGCGCAGGGTCGGAGGAAAGTAGTTCGGCTGCTCATCCACTATTGGTCCAGATCCTATCAATTTTGTCGCGAAACGACGTTATAGGAGTACTTTATACGAATGTTGCTACAATTTTTTCGCTACGTTATAGGAATTGTGGTTATAGGAACGCACGTTATAGGTGGGTCGACTGTACTTATATATACCCAAGTATTATGTACTCAAATAATATGTACTCATTTTATAATATACTCAAATAAAACAGCAAATAAAAAAAGCTTTGTTTTTTTACAGAAAATCAAACAAACTATATTGAATTTGATCAATTTTCTGGAATGTTTATAATCGTTCTATAATTTAAAAAGGTTCGAACATTTGGTTAAAAACTCGAAATATAGGCCTATAAAAATATTTATAACAATGTCTGAAATGTTATTAATTTAATATACTTAAGTACTTAATGAAGACTAAACGAACAAAAAATCGCATCTAAAATAGTACAGTAGAAGCCGTTTTTCCGGTTAAAACTTAATCCTCTCCCTCTCCCCCCGCGGGAGAATTTCGAAAAATCCGTTGTTAGTGAGCGTTTTCTTGACGTACCCTAACTGTGTACCAAATTTCACCTATTTAGGTTCAGCGGTTTGCTCTGGGCGATGATGAATCAGTGAATGAGTCAGTCAGTCAGGACAAGCAATTTTATATATATAGATTTGCAGCAAACCTACAAAAATATTACACATGTGTAAGTGGCATGTAACAAATTTATGGGAATAAGGTTTAAATATAAGGGAGCCCAAGTAGGGATGTAGTAGTCATGTGCTAGCGAACCGACATAGTGTGAGTATAGGAGCGAATTACATATAGGACAGATATGTACTTACGAAACATTTCTCAAATGAATTAAATAATTTAAAACTAAAAATAAACACTTAACCTTGAAATTTATTTTACCTGTTACATAATTTTGTTTCCATTTATTGCTTGTCTTAAATTAACAGACGAAACGTTTCCATTAGAGAACGACTTTTTTTTTGTAGTGTAAAATGACGTTTTCTATCTACCCGCTACTTGGTAATTTTTTTTTCTATAATCTAGTGCTTACGCTTTGCGTACTTTTAGTAATATAAGCAAGAAGTTGTGACCTTTCGGGTCGGCACCTCATTAGTACCCTGTCAGGATTGAACACCACCGTGTTTAACGGAACACGGAAGCCGAGACGCAATACTACGTCACACCAGTGGCGTGCCGTCATTGGAAGCGGTGGATGCGCCGCTTTTCTTGTATTTTCTAAAAAATAAATACATATTAATTTTAATTGTATGAAAATAATCACACAATATTTTATTATAACCGCATTATGTATCTTATTACAAATTTCTATACTACACGTGAAAAAAAAAATAAGATTGCTATACTGCATCCAATTCTATCCAGAACCGGTTCTGGGCTGTTAGCAGCCCTCGCCATATTACGTAAATCGTGAGTAGATTTATAACTTAACCGATAACAATTTACTGGTATGTTTTTATGATAGTTCTGTATAGTTGACAGGAGTTTTAAAAAAAATCCATTAAAATATTTGATATATTAATTAATTTTGCTTTTATTCCTCTCTCCCGTCTTGTATTACGGATTTTAATGTTAAACCAGTGATATTACGATTTCGTACGTTCCATCTATAAGGGGATGTAGAAAAAAACGTGTACAATTCTTGAACAATGTTAAAAAATTAACTGTTACATTGGCATTTCCAGTTCAACTAGAGTGACCGAAAAGATGTAAATTTTGGAAATTTCCGTGGACAACACCTGGTCCTAAAACGAATTAGTTAGAAAACAAATGACTATTAAGTTTAACATATTAAGACTTACAGCTATGGTGAGAAACATTTAAAATCTACAACATGCCCCGTCGCGTCCTTTGCGATATACTAATGATGCGACAAAAGAGGCATTTGACATTGACTGGTATCGGCACCCTCTGGATTTGGCAGCTCGCGTGCATGCACGCAACGCACACCTAGCAAGACCGTCTCTGATTCCACTCGTAGGGAGCTATTTGACTAAGTGGACTAAGATTTAGGGTGCGACTATGCAGACGCGAATTTAGAGCGAGCGAGAGGTTGCGAGCGATTTAGTTTTCGCAAAGGAAAACCATGCACAAACGAGAAGCGAGAAATAACGCTAGCGAGAGCGAATTTCTGGTTCTCGCACATATCTGACAGGTTTCGATATTTATCGCGTCTCGCCTCTTCTCGCCACATATTCTCGCTCACTCGGAGAATTCGCTCGCTCGCGTCTGCATAGTCGCACTCTTAAAGAGTAAAGAATATTTTATGTTATTTTTATGTACGTTTCTTTACAAAGCTATATTTAATTATAATTATCTTTAAAAGTATATTCATACAATTGAAGAATGTTTTGTACCAGGTATGTATATTCACCACACATTTTATTTCACAGAGTAAGTTTTTATAATTTTATTTTTATATTNAATGAAGATATTTATCTTAATTATGAAAATATACTAGCATGTTTTTTAATTTTTGGAACCTAACCCTCCTTTTCGTATTAGTTCTTTGTTTCGTATAACACGGATTCGCATAACACGGCAATTTTTTGGAACGTAACTACCGTGTTATACGGGGGTTACCTGTATATAACCCATTGAACGCGTGTCAGATCCAAGGTCTTAGTGTCAGACCGTCCGCGAAACGGTATGCCAAAAACGGGCACTAGAGGCGCCCTAGCGATGATTTTAAATTAGCAATAAATTATTTTTATTTGTAATGCAAATTTATTATTTTTACCACGGAATGGTATAAATAATTATTATATGCCTTGCCTTATTATAATCCTAGATAAACCTTGCGCCGCATGTTTACAATATCCCATGACTTACAAGTCAGTGAACGTCGCACGGGAAATTTGTTGAAAAAATGGCGGATACATTTAAAATCGAGGTTTACAACCGAAGGTAAATAAACAAATTAAACTATTTTAAAGTTTTTTAGAATGTTTAATAGATAAAAATATAGATCCGTATGACGCGATTGGGACTTTAACAGAGCTGTAAAGCATAATGATAGGATCAAAAAAGTTAAAAGAACCGTGCCTCGTGGGAATTTGTAAAGAACACCCACTAGGGGGCGTCCCGGGTTACTACTATTTTGACATTTTATCACGAAAACATTACACATTTTTGGTAGGTAGCAACTAAGTCAGTTGCTGCATATCAAAAATACCACTTTGGCATAAGGGCCACAAATAAAAGAAAAATTCAACAATACAAAACGATTACATATGAAGTATAATGAAACGATTAAAACAAATTCACTAGTCCAAGTAATGTAAAGTTAAACACCAGTGGCGTGCCGTCATTGAAAGCGGTGGAAGCGCCACTAGCCCACTTTCCTTGTATTTTCTAAAAAATAAATACATATTGCGCGATTATTTTCATATTTTAACATACTTTAAATTAAAATTAATATTTTATTATAATCGCATCATGTACCTTATTACAAATTTCTATACTATACATGAGAAAAACGATAAGATTGCTATTGTATATTCGAATATAAATTCGTATATGCATATTCCCAACGGGAGCTCTGTATTGGCGAAAATGGGACAGCTTCCAGGGCGAAAATATTTGAACGGTGTAAAGCAGCCCGATTATAGGCATTCGCGCATGCACTTTACAGATCAGTTTAGCTGGTGGAAGCCACACCAAAACGCTTCCAATTATTCTCTCCGGGACAGGTTCTGGGCTGTTAGACGCCTGCCTACTAGATATTTGGCCCCCCTAGCCCCATTATGCGAATCGCGAGTAGATTTATAACTTAACCCAACCGATAGGAGTTTACTGGTATGTTTTTATGATAGTTCTGTATAGTTGACAGGAGTTTTAAAAAAATCCATTAAAATATTTGATATATTTATTCCTCTCTCCCATCTTGTATTACTTACAGATTTCAATATTAAACTAGTGATATTACAATTTAGTATGTCTCAACTATAAGGGGATGCAGGAAAAAACGTGTACAATTCTTGTACAATGTTAAAAATTAACTGTTACTTTGGCAGCATCATTTACAACGAAATTTAATAAATGAGACGCACAAGGTACAAAAAAAAGGCTCTAGAATTTATATTCCTTAAATTTACGATTTATGTATCCATTGTCATAAAAATTTGTCTTTCCACTTCTTTTCCAAGACTACAAATATTCAAGTTCAAAGTAACAGCTTTCAACTTATTTCTACTTAAATTAATTAAATTAATAAGTAGTTAAATAATTAAGAGATTATTGAATTAGGGACTTAAATAAAACCCTGCTGAAAAAGCAGGAATTTTTCTTAAAAGCTTAACTGAACCAATCCCTAGCCGAGTACAGTGGGGACTGATTTCTTCGTAATATTAGATGTAATAAAGACAGAAAGTTTTCCAGTTCAATGAGAATGACTGAAAAGTTGTAAATTTTGGAATTTCCATGGACACTACCTGGTCATAAAACGAATTAATTAGAAAAGAAATGACGGACAATCTATTAACATTAGTAAATAATATAAAATAAATATTGGAAATTATAACAAGATAATTACGGTTAACAGATATATTATATCTAAATTAATAGATGTTATATGTTTTTTATTAAAGCAAGAATTGGCAGAGGGCATAGGGAATCTATTGAATCTAATAACAGAGGTAATTATATTGAACTTGTTTATTTATTAAGTACGTCAGATAATCTACTAAAAACACATTTAGAGAAGTCTACGGTTTTCACTGGCTTATCGAACAAACGAATACGAATGGGCCCTAGACCAGTGTTTCTCAACGGGGGCGATATCGCCCCCGTGTGGGCGTTTTTCCATGTTGAAGGGCGATTAGTAACAATTTATATTTTGGGGGCGAAAAACAATTTTCTGGAAGATATAGTAAAATATTGTATTAAGAATAATTAGATATTTTAGTCATGGACAATGTCCTTTCAGAATATTTTAAATTTAACATTACAGTAATTTAATTCTAATTATTAAATTTATTAGGAGAGCAGCTAAACCATCTACCTCTAGCCAAACTGATTTGTTATATAGTTTGTTATTAGGCTCAACATAGCCCAATAGATAATCTGACAGATCATTTGGTAATAGAAATGTGCTGGGTTGTTGTTTATTATGTAAATTACACAATCAATCGGCAAGAAGGAAGTGCAGCTACCCATTCTTTCACAGTTAAGAAAATATTGTGGTAATATAAATTAAAACTTTCAGTTGTATGAAATATGTTGTAAATTCCCGATCTTACAATGGTGGAAGCAATTGTTTCCAATCAAACCCCAACCACTTGTAATGTAATCTGAGTAAATTTTCTTTTTAGCGAAGTTTTACATTTAACAAATATTCTGCCAAATCCGAGAGAAAAGAATTTGTTAAAAATAAACTTTCCTTTAAAAAATGCAATTAAAATACTCGAAATATTACATCTATGACGTAAAACTCGTGACGTAACGCGTGACGCATTGCAACGACAAATTCGAATTCGTTCCATTTCGTATTGTTGCCGACGCCATCTTGGAAATTTATGCTTTCCGGAAATTGCGAGTTCTTTTTCCCTCCATTTTAACATTTTTCGTACAAATTTTAATAATGAAAACTCGCGTAACGTAGGTAACTTAATATTTTTCGATTTATATCAAAATTAAATAATTTAAATTAGATACGCTTTAAACCTAGATTTGCGGCCTGTAACCTGTAAGGTTACGGAATGCGTTTTTATAATTTTATTTATTATTACAAATATCTTAGCGATATTTTACAAAAAAAGAGGACTATTTTAGCATTTTAAAGAAAACATTTGCAATTAGTTAATATTCTGACGTAGAACTTATGACGTAACGTGTGACGCATTTATCGCACGTTCCACCGATTCGAATTCGTTCGATTTCGTATTGCCGACGCCATCTTGAAATAGAAAGTTTTCTGGAAATTGCGAGTTATTTTTCCCTCCATTTCGAGATTTTTCGTAAATGTTTAATTACATAAACCCGAATAACGCAGGCAATGTAACGGTTTTTATTTATAAGCGATCAAAATTGAATAATTGTCGATAGAATATTAAATGTAAAAGTCTTAAATTTTTACTTAAAATATTTAAGGTTGTTTCCACTTAGCATCGAATTAAATTATCAGATTATAAATGATATTCGCTTGCATATTGTCTTATATTCTTTTGAATGAAACAATAAATGTCCTGTACTAAAAAATTATTTTAATATTAAATTAATTAATTAGCTAATGAATCATCTCGATCTTTTCTATTCTTAATATTTAAATTCTTAAATTATTCTAGGAAGAAGTATCATTCTCAAATTTTATAATCCACTTTCCAAAGAGACATGGAATCATTTTAAAAACTTCTTGTGCTCAAAAAATTAACAAGAAGCAAAACAAAGGAAAGGTAAGACTTTTTTATTTTCATTCTAATTTGTTATGTATTCTGTACATTGATGCAGTAGAAAGTAGTATATAAAAGTTTAGTATCCTCATTGATGAATCTAAGAATTTATTGTAGTAGAATGATGTTTGAATAATAATTTTATTCATTTATGCCATTTAGAATAATATGAATTACAATTTTACTTAGAAAAATTAATTTATTGTTAAAAAAAGAAAACAGAACTTTACAACTTATGTGTTATTTATTTCAATGATACAGGTAAATTTTTAAAAAAATGTTTAACACACTGCAAAAACAATCCATTCAAACTTCACACCAATGCACTTGATTGGTTAGGTACCATTGGCAAAACTCCAAATTATCTAAAATTATTAGGTAGTCCTCTCAACTGTCGACAGTTATATTTCTGTTTCTATACTTTCCTGCTGACAACACATACATCTCTCTCTGTGTGATGGGCTGGTGTAGCTTGCCTGCCTTGTTGGTTGTACCCAGAGAAGATAATATCTGCTTCTTTGTGTGGTGGTGTTGACCAATGTAATCTGCTCCATCAAACTATCTGTCCATTTGTTTATCACCTCCTGGAGAGTGAATTCCATCACCTCTATTCTGTCTATCTTCCATCTATCTGTGGCAGGGTTATGTGACAAAATAAAGAGACAGGTCTGGAGGATCGAACCCTCCTGAAGGAAGGGATATCTAACAGTTGAGAGTGATTCAGATTCAGGGTCTGTGGTCTCCCACCAAACACAAAATGAAATGAACCCCAAACCTTGAAAAGCACCACAAGGACTTCTTTAAACTCTCTGTATATGCTTCAAAAGGAATAATTTCAAGTCTTTTGAACAGATCTCTGAAAAGTCAACTTTATAAAGATGATCATTTCCTGATAATTCCACTAGCTCTCTTTGATACTTTCTCTAACAATTGAAGGAAATACTGACCCCAAGAATAGTAGTAATGGGGCAATGTATACTCTACCAGTGCCAGTAGTACTTTCTGAAGTTGACTTTTGTTAATCAATTTTTCAGATAATTAACTCTACTGAATAGTGAAAAAATTTTGAATTACTAGTTTGTTGCTCATATGACTAATGCTTTAAGAATTCTTGACCTAAGAAAGTTCATTGTAAGAAAACTTTCATTAATCTAAAATAGTTTTCTGGATCTTATGCTGAAATTCCCTGGTATAGAAAAAAATTGATGGAATCGAAGAATTGAATGACAGGAGTTGGAAAGTGTCAAGGTTGTCCACCCAAAAGAAACTGCCTGAAAGACCTGTCAAATCAAGGAACTGACTTTAGAGTTTTTTTAAATGGGTTGATCGGATAGTTGGTTACATACTACATATTCAGAATGTTTTGGAATGATCCCAAAAAACAAACACTGAAAGACATATAAATAGTTTTGTGATCAATACTAGGGAACTGCCAAACAGGAAGATAACAGAAATGATGCTGGGAAGTTACATGAAGGAAGAGGAAAACAGAGAGTCTCAGTTCAATGCATCCTTACCATACTGTAGTTATGGTTCTTCAGTAATTTAAAGTAAGTAATGTCATCAGACAAAAACACTGAAGGGAAAAAACATCATGGTGGAGGTGTCTCCTAGTCTGTCAATGATTTTAAAAGTTCATTCCAAGATTGAAAGGAAATTCAAAATCCTTAATGAGATCCTTAATTATTGATTGCTGGAGTGTGAGCATTTGTCAAACCATCAATCCATAAATGATGGAATAAAAGTGGCATTATTTCACCTGACCTGGATGAGAAAGGAAATTCAGCAGAATCAGGGATTCAGGCAGTACAGATGTTGCTGTGAAGACTGGCATTCATTGAAACATTCACTTTGTCGGAGTAAACAAGAATTTGTTTGTTTTGTTACTCTCTAACAAAAATAAGTTCTAAATGATTGAGATAGAGTATATTGAGATTGAGAGTAGCTAATATGCAAATAAGTAATATTTCTTTTAGCTAAATTTGGGACATTGATTAAACTCAGTTTACAGCTAAAAATTACAAAATGCAATCATATAAGAGCATAAATTTTCAAACAGTTTATTAAAGACTTTAATAATGCAATAATACAAACTATACCAGTCAAGACAAAAAAGTCATATCACACAATCAGTTAATTCCAAAATATTTTTATTATAGAGTTATTCTTTGCATAAATTCTGAGAGGGATATAATGTATTTACCTACTTTTAATTATCTTTTGTAATTACTGTTTATGTATTATTATTGATATAATGTTAATGATTATAATTATAAAGTCTGTGTGGGTTCACACACACACACACATAGCTTTGGTGTTGTATTTATTGGATTTAGATTTTTTGAACCTTAAAATTAGATAGTGTAATGGCAAATTCTGCTAATACTCCTAAACTTTTTGCATTCACAAAGATCCATAAATCAGGCAACACTATATGAACTGTAATGCCATGCTGCGTACTTGCCTTTTAGAAAATGCTATTCATAATCTATTTAAAGATTATTTAAAAACCTATAGATTATCCAACAGTAAAACAGAGCAAATAATTGATGATTTGTGGTAGTCAACTTATAGGAGATGTTTATATTACAGTCTTAGACTTTATACTGTACCTGTGTGCCACTTAATACAAATTACAACAAATTTTTGCCCTCTTAGACATTTATTACATAAAAGCAATAAGCAAGTCAATTGCAAATTTATCTTGGATTTAAGCACATATTTCATGCTATTCCTCTTTCTTTCACTATGATTACAAGACATATGTTCAAAAGAGAGGGGCACCTGTGGATAGCCTCTTGCCTGGGGTCCTTTGTCAGATATAATATTATTGGAAAAATGATTTTATCAACTCTACCATGTATGCTTATGTGCAAAAGATATGTGGAAGATATCTTTATTATATGGAAAACAAAACCAGATATAAATGGCTTCATACAACAAATGAATGACAATCCTTATGGACTGTATTAAATTAGACCATGCCAGCAACTAAATGGTACATTTTTTTGGATCTTAAAATCAACAATAGAAATTAAAATATTCATCCAAATTTATATTACAAACCATCACACCCACCATTATTTATATCTGCAAGCTCCAATAACCCCTGATGTATACAAAATAGCTGCTTTTAGAGCCCTGACAAAAAGACCCTTTACCCATTGTACAGATTTTACTGAAATGGCAAATGACTATAACAGTTTGAATATATTGCTATAAAACAGGTTACTATAGAAACCTTATCCAGAATTTGGCTCAAACGTACTCTGGTGGTAATGTTCAAGGCTCATATGCTAACAATGGGATAAGAGATAAAACTATAAGAACCCAAACAATATACTCTGTATCTGACTTTATTACATGTAGACCTATTCTGGCCAAAAATATATATACAAACTATATTCTTACTTCATTTTTATGCCTTAATTAAACTGAAGTGTTTATTGAATAGTCATCAGTTAATGTACTGTACATCACTTCATTATTTGATTTGACTATTTCCATTCCAGGATTTTACAACTATTTTTAAATATCCAATATTATAATATACACAACAATATATCCAATGAAAAGCACTCATGCAAAAAAACATATTATCAAGGTGTTTAATTCATAAATAAAAATGATCTGTTAAACATTTCCAGGATATTACTTCTGACCATCAGATTTCACTATTAAACAGATTAGAATAGTGTTTTTCTAGGAATATTTTTCTTTTTTGTTGATTCTTTAATTTAATAAAACAACAACAACACAATTTTAAGTGTACTTATATCTAACATAGTTAACTGTACTTATATCTAAATCCACTAACCGTTTTGGAAATAAAAATCATATAGAATCTGGGTAGTGTAACCTACAATGCATCTCTAAACTAATCAGGAGTTGTGGATTTGAGTCCCATTCTGGACAATTATTTCCTTTGGACAATATCCTTTGGGATAGACAATGGACAATGTCCTTTCAGAATATTCTAAATTTAACATTAATTTAATCCTAATTATTAAATTTATTAGGAGAGCAGCTAAAGCACCTATCTCAAGTCAAATTGATTTCTTATGTAATTAGTTATTAGGCTCAAAAATAACTCAATAGATAATCTGACAGATTATTTGGTGCTAGGAATGTTTATTATGTAAATTACACAATCAATCCGCAAGAAGGAAGTGCAGCAACCATTCTTTCACAGTTAAGAAAATATTGTGGCAATATAAATTAAAACTTTCAGTTGTATGAAATATGTTGTAAATTCCCGATCTTACAATGGTGGAAGCAATTGTTTCCAATCAAACCCCAACCACTTGTAATGTAATCTGAGTAAATTTTCTTTTTAGCGAAGTTTTACATTTAACAAATATTCTGCCAAATCCGAGAGAAAAGAATTTGTTAAAAATAAACTTTCCTTTAAAAAATGCAATTAAAATACTCGAAATATTACATCTATGACGTAAAACTCGTGACGTAACGCGTGACGCATTGCAACGACAAATTCGAATTCGTTCCATTTCGTATTGTTGCCGACGCCATCTTGGAAATTTATGCTTTCCGGAAATTGCGAGTTCTTTTTCCCTCCATTTTAACATTTTTCGTACAAATTTTAATAATGAAAACTCGCGTAACGTAGGTAACTTAATATTTTTCGATTTATATCAAAATTAAATAATTTAAATTAGATACGCTTTAAACCTAGATTTGCGGCCTGTAACCTGTAAGGTTACGGAATGCGTTTTTATAATGTTATTTATTATTACAAATATATTTTACAAAAAAAAGGACTATTTTAACATTTTAAAGAAAAGATTTGCAATTAGTTAATATTCTGACGTAGAACTTATGACGTAACGTGTGACGCATTTATCGCACGTTCCACCGATTCGAATTCGTTCGATTTCGTATTGCCGACGCCATCTTGAAATAGAAAGTTTTCTGGAAATTGCGAGTTATTTTTCCCTCCATTTCGAGATTTTTCGTAAATGTTTAATTACATAAACCCGAATAACGCAGGCAATGTAACGTTTTTTATTTATAAGCGATCAAAATTGAATAATTGTCGATAGAATATTAAATGTAAAAGTCTTAAATTTTTACTTAAAATATTTAAGGTTGTTTTCACTTAGCATCGAATTAAATTATCAGATTATAAATGATATTCGCTTGCATATTGTCTTATATTCTTTTGAATGAAACAATAAATGTCTTGTATTAAACAATTATTTCAATATTAAATTAATTAATAATCATCTTGATCTCTTCTATTCTTAATAATTAAATTCTTAAATTATTCCAGGAAGAAGTATCATTCTCAAGTTTTATAATCCACTTTCCAAAGAGACATGGAATCATTTTAAAAACTTCTTTGCTCAAACAATTAACAAGAAGCAAAACAAAAAAAAGGTAAGGCATTTTCATTTTCATTCTAAATTGTTATGTATTCTATACATTGATGCAGTAGAAAATGGCATATAAAAGTTTAGTATCCTCATTGATGAATCTAAGAATTTATTGTACTGTAGTAGAATGATACTTGAAATGTAATGTTATTCATTCGCACATTCAAAATAATAAGAATTGCAGTTTTAATTAAAAGTAATAAATTAATCCTTCAAATTATATTTATTTCATATCAAGATAAATTATAAACATTTAAGAAAAACATTAGCAGAGAGTTTAAATCATAATATAATCTTGTTTTAAAATTATCAATGAGTAATTAATATGAATTTATAATGTCTACCTATTGATAACAGGATTTATTTTAAAAAATTAATTCTTAGCTTATTTCAATTATCAAATAGTACATACACTTATTTGGGTAATTTTTTAGAATTGGGGCAATTTAACACCATTGCTCATTCATAAAGTACATAACTTAACAACACCCAATACTGAAATTTACAGATTTACACAAATCAAATCACACTACTACACTTAATTTATTTGCATTAATATCTAGAATGCCATTTATATAACCAGAAGTTCTATCTAAGCTGTAATTAACACTCTTATTTTTGCTAAACTCAATGTTAAATTTTAGAAAATGCTACAATTTTAAATAAACCATTTCTTTTAAAAGAAGTTGTTTTATTTCTCTTAGTATATGGTTTAATTTTTATTAAGACATATGAAAATGAAGCTTAACTAGAATTTTAATGTTTGTTTACTTATTTTTATATTAAAAATAGCTGTTTTTTCAACTCTTCTATGTAACTCTTGAATACATTGATGATTCTGACATTTTATTTTTTACATGTTTAATAGATTTAACTGATTGTGAGCACTTAAAGCCAGGAGTTGTGTGACATCATTTAGGCTTCTGACATACCAATAGAGCAGCTATGTGACATGTATGTATGAAAATTACTTTGTGGATAATCAACTCAATGGTAAGTGGCTGGAAGTGATTACATTTATTTGAAATCATTACTATATTTATTCATATTTCAGAATCAATTTTAAATAATGTTCTTTTTTAATTGTTCAGGTTATCTGCTCCACACACCTTCCTTTAGAAAATGTTGATATTGAACTTTGTCACTGCAATCTTTTAACAAACATTTCCATTATGACAAAGAGCATGCAACATTTTCTTCTATAAATGGTCAGTGAACTACTTTACTTTACTTTTATATTCCCGGGACCATTTTAATTTTAAATTTTGTAAAAATTGGCATTCAGAGTTTGATTTGTCTTGATGTTCATTTTGGATTAATTAGCCCTATGTTAATTAAGCACAATAAAATTAGGTTCAAATTTTCTTTATCATATATAATGTAATAGAGATAGCTGTAAAAGCAGATTATAAATTATGAATTATTGTAAAATTTATATTTTAAATAAATAAAGATTCATTCTGTTTAAATTTTCATTCTATATTTTACTATATATGTAAAGAATTAATACTTGTAATTAATAATATTTGTAATTTAATATGTTTGTGATTGCTATGACAACAAAGTATTTAAATTTATTTTTTGAATTTGTTGTACTTCTTTTAAAATCAAACAATATAGTTTTAAAGAACATTAAAAAGTGTATTTGAGAGAGAGTGCTTATTTTTTACTGTTAAACATACAGATAACACCTCATTATAGCAAACAATTTGAAGTCCAATTTGGCCACCTGTAAGACTTAGCTTAAGAACTGTCAATATAAATTTCAGAATATCAAAGGTTTTTTCACTATGCCGAGCATTCCCAATATATCAAAATACTGGGATAAGTTAGACGAAAATGATTATGAAGTTCCATAGATGACTGGACAAAGGGGGCATGTCTAGAAGATGCCTTAGATTAAGGCTGGTGTGGTGGGTGGACTGGATTATTTGTTACCCATGTTAGAATATTCCGGAAGTACCCAGTGAAAATCCATAAATGAGTGGATGACGCCATTGACAGAATCTTTCAGACCATAGGCTAAGAATGCCGCCACCAAATAAGATATGTACGGAGATGATACTAAGAAGTTACAAGAAGGAGAATGTATTTATGTGTTTTATATTCAACGAATCCTTACACTACTTTAGTATTAAATGGATAATATACTTTACTACGCTGTTGTTATGATCCATCAGTCACTGAAAATAATCTTCTCGGACTTCATAATGAAATATGCCAAAGGGAAAAAAATGCAACCCATTTTCATTGTTCAAAAAGCTTCTTTCTACAAGAAGTTAATTCTGAGTAAAAATTAGATGTTGCAAGGGAGTTTATTCCATTAAAATTCTGTTAATGATTTTAAAAGATCATCCAACATTGAAAAAAGTTAAGAAGATCCAATGTTCAGTCCAGCAGGAATAAAACGCATAGCACACATTTTAAGGATGTGCAGAAAGTTATTTTCATCTGGTTTCGAGATATTCAAGCGTGCCACTGTCCCACAGGCAGCTCCTTGTTATTACAGAGACTTTTTGAAAATAATGGAATTATCTCAAAATCTTTATGCAGAGAAACATTGATGTTTCATTGCACATAGCATGTGCATGGACTATAGACAAGATACAATATGTAAGTACAGCACAGATGACATTTTCAATCCTGATGAAACAGGTAGTTTATTCTGCTGCAGAGGAAGCAAAAATGCTAAATAGCGATTAACAGCCATGTTTTATTGCAGTATCTCAAGTAAGAAATGATCTCACATTACACTATGCTGCATTCTTTTATCTTAAGAAAGATCAAGTACTGATATCCACTGTACTGTACATGACATAGATATGGAGAATATGAGACCCTTAATCATTGCAAAAACATCAAGAACATATTGTATTATGTGAACAACGTGTGCTCTATACACTGTAAACTGCCAAGATTGGATGATGGAGAGCATTTTTAATAAATAGTTGAACTGGACACTAGATTAAAAGATGAAACAAAAGTAAAGAGTCAGCTGTCAGATGTCAAGTGCTTGGTTTGAGTCCTATCTGAAAAATGTGCAAGTTGAGTGCTTTATACACTGCTGTTCTACAGCTGATCTTGGAATAATCCATACTGTACAGGCTGAATATTGATTATTTTTTGCAACATTGACTACTATGTCTACAGAAAGATAAACAAGTTGTTGACAAGATTGCTGCAGCATGTGCACATGTCATGAATTTTATCACACTCTATTTTGTCTGGTAGCATTAGAAACCACAAAATGTCACAGGTTCTCTAACAATGGTGTAGGAAAACAAAATTAATGACTACTATTAACCTTTTTCTAGTTCAAAGTATATAGATTATACTAAATAATATTAGTTAATGGTGATGTCCCTTCCATTAACTGTCAGAATTATTATTACTGTTTGAACAAAATATAATTTTTAACACTCTACCAGCAAAAGTATTTATTAACATAACATTATTTCCAGGATTATAATGGATAAAGTTCATGAAAATTATTAAAAATAAGAAACTGCAATCTTAAAATGAAGTATATAGTGAAATTTAACAATTGATATGGTGTATAACTTTCTCTGAGGACAAAATTGACCATTGGTTAACGTCAATAGTTAAAGACGACTTCACAGATAGCGATGCTAATGTGAGTCTCTCATAATATATTTACAAAATTGTTATCTTTAAAAACAAGCAATTATTTATTGTGACATTGTCACAATGTTGGGCTGCAATTTCTAATCATATTTTTAATTTAAAATATATCCTCTCCAACTCAAATTAGTAGTGACTTGCTCCTGGTACATTACACTTTTCCTTTAACAATACAGTTGTGCCAGTCATATCTCTAACACCTTTCAGGGGAAGATTTTAATTGAAATAACGCAACTTCCGGTTTGTATCGGAAGTTCTTATATAGTTAATTGGGGCCTTCTCCCACTAAGATTTCCGTATCGGATTCCCTTCTCGAAATTAAGGAATCACAGATCGAATTTATAGGTCTACTAATTGCAGTCCAATATGTATCTTAATATGTAAATCATAAAACAAAGTAAAAAAATTAAAATAAGTTAATGACAGTGGCATGTTATAGCTTCACGAATCCCATTTGAATTTGAATTACGAATGCCCCACCCAAACAATTGAATTTTTTGTTCATAGGATAACACGCCACTGTTTAACAAAATTATTTTTTGTATATTTTTATTGTTCGATATACTGTTTTGTTTATACTATTGCAAATTTAAATTTGTTTATTAATAATTTTATACAATGTTATACAATACACAAGACTTCTATTCGTAAGAACTGTAATGATACATTAATATAAAATAACACAAGTTTTATACTCAAAATTAATTTAATTATAATGAAAATTTCAATTGCAATGTTACTTTAATGCTATTTTAAATACGCATTCAACAATTTATTTTTATTGCAACTGCCACTTAAACACATACGGCACACTAAATATAGCATAATGGCACCCGTATTCGAATGTTTGAAGCTGTTATAAAATTTTATATTTTTTTATTACGATCGGTAGAAGCTCAAGTAACAAAATTCATATATAAAGACAAAAATTGTTCAACGCTTGTCACGAAAACAAAACACAGTTAAATACAACAGCAGTAGACAATAGGCAAAAAAATAGCTTCATATAATTCTTCATAAGTATTTTTTGCATATTGTATAAAAATACATAAATTTTATAGACAATTTTTACATATTATTCCTAATTTTTTCAATTATTATTATTAATTATTAACCGCGACAAGCAAGTTTTAAAGGATCTAAATAAATACGTTTACAAACAATTCCTTATAAGGTTGTTAAGACCATTCAGTAAATCATTAACTCCAAATACTTATTAATAGTTATATTTTCGGGTGCTTTTAAAGTTTTCTGGCCTTTCGTTTTAGAGATATTATGGCAGTTAATCGCCTGAATAATTAGGTGACAATTTTACAAAACAATTGAGCATAAATTAAACAATAACATGCGAATTAAATATAAAACAGCACGTAAAATATCAAAAATTTAAATTAACATAACATAATTTCAAACAAGTTCTAATTCAATTTTTAGTTTTACATTTAAACATAGAAATGTAATAGATAAATATATACCATATTTAATTGTTATCTTACTTTTGATAATATGATTTTAATTGCATTCTTTATAATAAATAATATAATTATATTTTGATATTTTATCATGGACACGTTACACATTTTTCGTACGCAGCAATTAAGTCAGTTGATGCATACCAAAAAGACCACTTTGGCATCAGGGCCACAAATAAAAGAATAATTCAACAATACAAAGCAATAACATACAAATTATACTTAAAATAAACTAACTACTGTACGCGAAATAATAAAAAGATACACGTTTATCAAAATAGATAACGACATTTTTCTCGTAATACCGAGGACTACACAATACACATATCATGTATGACCGGACATTGGAGTGTCGCTGTAGCCGAGAACGGCCGGCGACGGGTTAGTGTGGGATTCTTTTGGAAGTGACATTTATCTCGTAATATTGAGGACTTTTTCACACTTATAACGTATGAACAGACATTGAATCTCAGAGATTTAATGAATTTTTCGTCGTGAGTAGCTAATATTGAAAGATTTATCCCGAGCCGGATAGATACATCAGACGAGTCGTATATTGGTTATGCCTGCTCTATCTCATCGAGCAATAATTTTAGAATAGAAAAAACTTGTTTTCTATTCTAAAATTAATGCTTAGTCAAACCGTAATTTTACTAGTCTACAGGCTCCATCAGCACTAACAGCACAGACAGGGAAATCAAGAAGATAAACAAGTTGTTTGGATTGTTAAAAGGGAAATCGGTGTTGATACTGAGATATTTTAATGCAAGTTTTTGTCATTTCTTGTTTCTTGTGTTAATAATTTGCAGCAAATTGATTAACATACATCATTATGTAATGAAAGTTAGATATACCCCTTCGATTTACGCTCGTACTTCTAGGGGTACATGTACTGTATCCCCGGTTGAGAACCACTGATCTACAGGATTAGGTTCTTCCTTAACTTTTTGGAAGGTGATATCTTTTTCGATATTTCTTTGTGGTCTCCGACGAGTAGGGGCACGGTATTTTCTTTTCCGAAGACAATAGTGGAGTGCGTAAATGATACATATTCTAATGATTACAGTACCAACACAGTAAAAAATTATCATCGTAATTGGAAGCGAGGTGGCTGAAGTAAGGGAGATATTCGTGTTATACGAAGAAAATGGTTTAAATCATATATATAAATATAAATGTCCTATATAAATGTAATATGTTTTTTCGCTATTCAATTTGATTCCAGAAAATATCCCAATATCTTTTCTTAAAGACATTTAGACAAACTATCAATCCAATGTCATGGAAAATGTTAATAGCTAATAAGTCAAATTA